GGCTGTTGCTGCAATGGTCAAGGACACGAGCGTCTCGTGTGCCATATTCGTGGTATATGTTCGGGTCTCCCGCGCCTCTTACGCACGCTTTCGAGCTTTCCATTAATGTCGAGCGATTAACTTGCGCAAGGAGCTTCCGATTCGCGGCCCAATAATTTGCTCGTCACTCGGCACGCAAAAGTCCGCGCCTCGAAAGAGTACAAGTACGTTAACCTACAATTTCACCGGCGACCAAATGACCTCGTATGCCGACCGACGCTCACACTTCCTCCCAACGATGGACTTATAACGCGTACATTTTTACCCCGCCTTCTCGCACTCTCGACACCCGATTATCCTTTTCTAGTTTCTCTGTTTTTCGGAGTCCTCTATAATTGAAGACGTTGTTGCAGCTCTTTCAAGCACTTTAGCTATACGACATCATAATACGAAAACCGTCCGTATGTTATGACATCGTAATAGAGCTTTATAACCATTTATAACTTGTATTTAACACGTCGGACTTTGACGAAAAGAAATCTACAATTAAAATAATTTATTTGGCATTGATTTTACTACATGGATGAGAAAATGAAACTTAACGGCAAAAGCTGCGGCACCTATTCTATGTCGGCGTTTTTTCACGACTCGCCGACGCTGCTCGACTGGCTAAGCGACGCGCTCACTGTATTCCCCTGCATACAAACGTCATACTGCCAGCGATCATTTTCGCACCTCGCAAACAATCGTGCAAAAAGGCGCGAATAATAAAGCAGCGAGAGAAAAGCGAACGGCGGCCTTGTTATATTCTGCGAGGGAAAAAAAAAGCTACGGCATCGTGCCTCGTGAGCTTCTTCTCTCAGTGGCATTCGATTTTACCAGGATTTACTCCGTGCCACGAGGCTTCGATCCGCATCCTCGCGTTAAACGTAAACGTGTACTCGCCCACCTTTCGACTTGTATTGGCGCGCACGAACCAAATTGACGCATTGACGTAAAAACCGCGATAATCGTTGGGACACATGGAGGAGTGAGGAAACTATACTGCTTATGATCGTCCAATTAGCGGCATAGTAATTGCGATCAATGTTCGAGGAGGCACGAACATTGACAGATAAATCAAGAAGTCGATGCTGATGCCGCCCATACCGTAGATGCTGTACGAAGCGACGAATTGGTACAATTAATGTCGAAACGTCGGTGGGGTCTTGTTTTGGGCGATAAGGACAAGAGAGGGAAGCCAATCTAATAATAAAGAAGATTGCAGTCTCGTGTCGTAAATAATGGTTTACAAAAGTAAATAATAGAGTTTCTGAGGGGGGGGGGAATAATGGATTTGAACGAGATCAATAATCGAAGGGTAATTTTTCTTCTTAAAATTCACGCTTTGACATCGTATCAAGAATTTCCCGACACAACGAAGGCTGTCCGAGGCTAGTGCTTAAGAGCACACACATCGTGAATTAAGAAAATTCATCGTAAGTGGCCCTTGAAGTTTATATTCGTGCGCACGCACGAAATAAGATTTGGCATTTTTCTTTCTTGGCCCCGTCTATTTTCTCCAAAGTGTTAGTTATGGGCTAAACATAAATTTCCCCATTAACAATATCTTTGCTTTATGCGGCCGTGCCGTAAGGTCGATACGGTGAAAATAATGTAAACAAAAATGTCCACATAGTTCCCATACGTGTATACAAATGGAAGAGGCAAGGCGCGATAAATCTTCATCGCACCTTTACTTCAGTGCCATTCGCAAGATGTATTAAAGCTACTATGCGTTACGTACAGTTTTTTACGTATAAACAGTACCAATTTGGTTAATAAATAATGATAATGGTATTGCGCGATTTTAACACATCGATATTGCATTATCAAATTCGCGATGTTATTACTGAAAAATTCAATGTCCCGACGCACGCGCGTAAACACGAGCACACGGTGCACTTAAACAATGCAATCTTCCGTTGAAATCCGTGTTACATAAATGTTCGTATTACCTTCGTCACACTTTATTCAAAGCATTCAACATAATGATTGTATTTAAAAGGGAAGTTTGCGGAAGTAAAACTTGCTGCATCGATCTACGTATACTCGAGCATTGAAACATTAAGTTACATGGGGAAAAATGAAAATTAAAAAAGAATACATAAAGAAGAATAAGAAGAACATGAGAAGAACATAAGAAGAAGAAGAAGAAGAAGAAGAAGAAGAAGAAGAAGAAGAAGAAGAGGAAGAGGAAGAGGAAGAGAAAGATGAAGAAGAAGAAGAAGAAGAAGAATAAGAAGAAGAAGAAGAGGAGGAGGAGGAAGAGGAAGAGGAAGAGGTGGAGGAGGAAGAGGAAAGAAAAGGATAAGGAAGCAAAAACCTATGTGCCTGGAGAAAGAGACACGGTGTATGGTGTACATAGGTGAACGAGGAAAAGAAAAAAAGGAGAGAATTTCTAATACTACAGAATGCGGATCTCGGATCGGTCCTAACGTTTTCCATATAATTATTCTAGGTGTCTTTTATATACATGCAAATAAACATTCTGAAATGAAATGATCGATTGAATGTTTCGATGAAAATTATATGTGCAGCGAATGCATTATTTACTGATTACAATGTTTCGAGTCCAATTTAGATTAGCGTACACGTTTTGAATTCGTATATAAATATTGGTTGCTTATGTGGCTCGAAAAATAACTTACACAACAAACGCTGTATATTTTCTTTTCTTTCCTTTGACGTGGAGATAAGTAATTTACGATTTAATCAATAACACTGCTTAGTTGCGAAAAGATCGCAATGCGTATTGTATTTCTGAGAAAATTCACGAAAATTCCCATCGCTCGACTAAGCAAAGGCGAATTCCAAGCGAATGTTCGACGATTGAATTTCAGCTGAGCCGGCCATTTTTATGTACAGCAGACGAGCAAACGCTTATTCGGCGTATTATTGTAGCGTTCGCACGTCCGTATCGCGCGTTACATGATAGCAAAATGCTGTCCACACCCCTTCCTCCACACCACTCTAACTAGTCGATACGACCGCGCACCGCGAGAAATATGATTTTCATCCGATAGTTACAAAGCCACGCAAACACGCATAATGGAACGTTGCGTTCGTGTCTGACAATGCGCGTGTTCCCGCAAATTTTGCCGCTATGACTAATGGCTCTCGTTACGAATTTTCAAATTGGTAACCGTCTGTCTGTCTGCCCGGGGCCAACTGCACACATTACGCATTCATAAACCATAAAAACATTAACGTGCCCTTCTCTTTCTCCTCTCCCCGAATCTCCTCCTCGCCCAACACTCATCCTACGAAAAGTTTTCGTGGAGCCACAGTTTTTGTTTCGGGTCTGTCTGCATCTACGAAAAGCAATGTTCATTAAAGCCCCTGCATTTTACATTATTATTTATCAATGGAACGAAAAGTTGACTGGTCGAGAGGTATTTCGCCGAGCCCCACTAATGGGATGCCATTTATTTATAAAGAATGAACGAGATAATAAAATTTGACATTCATCATTAATATCGCGGCTCGTTCGTTTTCCTCGGCCCAACGCTCGTGGAAGCCATTGTTTAGATACTTTAGCCAGGTCAATAGAACCACGTAGCACTACTTAACTAACGGCCAATGCAAGAAACGCTCATTACACGACACGCAATATAGAGTCCAATGCTTTCTTACCTTTTTTGCTTCATATTTTCTTTTTGGTAATTTTTTTTTTGTTTTTATTTTTGTTTTTGTTTTTTTTTTTATCTCCTTATGTTTCTTTATGTTATTATCGTTTAATTCCCCACTGTGCCTAATTCGCGAGCGATTTTTCTCCACTCCAATGTAGATACCAATACGCGATATCCTGCCAGACTCGCTCTCTCGCGCGCGCGCGCGAGCGCACGCCCATACTCCGATAAAAGATAGTTATAATTGAAACCAGTATTATAAAGTCGCGCGCCATCGCCGCTTCTTCGCGTCGTGATATACTTCGCTTCGCTTTTTAACGATATTAAGAGATCGGCATCGACTCGAGGTCTAATCTAAAATAAGCTCACTAATATTCAAGGCCTGCCGATCCCTTCTCAAGCGCAACGAGTTTCGCGTCCTCGCGGTTCTCCACCAATCCCAACCTGCCACCAGCTCTCCGATTCTTTTCACTAACGACTGACGATGCTTAATCGATCGAACCCAGCTTAATAACCTCCTTTGTTTAATTCCCTTTGGACTGCGTTATTATACTCATCCTATGATCTGCCCTTCAATCCCCCGTCACAATGAATATTTAGCTACGAGGCCGACTCGGACCAACACGACGGGAGCGCCATAACGCTTAATGCGTTATCGGTACGTAGCGGCGAGAAAAGGAAGAAGCGACGACGTTGCTATCGATACGTCGGTATCGTACTCCCATAATTAATCGACCGGCGTAATAAGTCCCGATAATACCATTCCCGACACGCCGTGTAATTAATTGCCGTGGATTTACAGCCAGGTATTGGCGCTTGCTCGACGTCATCGAGCCCGGATCGATCTGGCAGTCCACCCGCGAGCTCGCGAGCTCGCGTGCCGTCGCCGATCCCCGTCTCCTCTTGCCCCGACGACGACGTCGTGCCGCGACAGCGACCATTAATCTGCGAGCCACGCTGAAGCGCCTTCCTAAGCTTCGTACTCGCGCTGGACTTCGTTACGGGTCGAGACCGGTCCCGGGGCACCGACGCTACGATCCACGCCTTAACACTCGGGAATCTCGGGGCAGGCCGGCGACAATCTGTTGGGACTTTGGCGGACTATCGCGAGCCAACGCCGCTACGTTGCGAGCTGGGGAATAATTTGTCGTGGAGCTCGTGCGCTGCTAAAAATCCATTTCTTATGAAATTATCGATGCGAGTACGGAGAAATTAATTGGCGGTCTGCTTGATGCTTCGATGCGCCCATATTCAATATATCGCGACTACACTGGGCTTTAAATTGTCTCGAAAGTATTTCAATAGCAGAACTTTAATTATAAAATTCGGGGCAAAAATCGCGTACAGACATTATAAAAGCCGCGCCTGCAGTAGCAACAGCGCCACCACTCCCACCACCACCATCACCACAACCTCTACAACGACAACGATGAGCATCACCACTACCAGCAACGGTGGCGATACATATGCGCTCAATAGTTTATGCTCATCTCCGTCGTAATTATTGCATCTCATCGTTAATGTTAATAGTGGTGCATAAACTCTCTTTCGACTCTCGGCCTATGCAAGTTCATTCCGAATGTCTTTAGAGATTTAAATGAACACGAGAGTTTCTTTTATTTTTATCCTTGTAATTGTAAATGCACGCATCTGCGTTTAAATAGGTTGAGCGTCGATTAAAAACGAATAATATAACTCACCGGCTAGATAATGTACATATGTACATTAGCGTTTCGAGATCGTAATTTTTTTGTTAAATAACAATTCCTCATGGACGTATATTATCGCATACGATAAGATTCACTTTTTGGCACAATACATATGACTTCATTCGCCCAAAGTCCATCTCACTCTCACTAATAATATCTCCGTATTGAAAAGCCAATGAGAATGTTAATCGTAATTGTTTATGAAAAGTAATAACTTTTATTATAGCCATGTTAGCATTTATCATTTCCGTATCTTCTCTCCCTTTAGTCGACAATTTCGAAAACAAGAGCGAGACGACAAGCGAACTGATAAATTGCACAGCTTGTCAAACGCTTTCCGTTACGTAACGGTGCTAGATTATCAAGTAAAATTTGCTCAAGCATTCGAGCAGAGTTTACGCAGCTTTGACAAAGTATCTTTAGATCGCCTCTTTAAAATATTATTTTGCACGCATACGCGTGCGTGCGCGTGATATTTAACGCTCCCCTTTTGCGTGCGCCTTAAATGAGAATTGGCCGACGAGTGATCGCACGGCGCTCGAGGCTTCGTACGGCTATTTCTCCTGTCCCTATGAAAGTGCCATCCGAAGTGATAAGTGACGTTTTCATCGGCATATACATCTCGATTAATCATACTGCCGGTAGTTTGATATCGTGAAATGTATAATAATTACACGCGTTAGAAATATAAATGACGCTCATCTAGTGCTTCTGTCATAATGTCATACGCGCACGGGGGGTGTCGAAGCAGAAGAGTCCAATCGACGTTTTAAATAGCCACGTTGTAAAAAGGACGAAGACGAAGAAGAGGAAATGAAGTCGATATGGACACAGGCAATGAGAAAAGTTGAAAAATTGCCGTTTAACCGTCGTAATGGGCGCGGGACGACTTAGGTTGCTAGCGCTAGCGCCGTAACCGCTGTATAAAAAGATAAATTACTTATCCAGCGGGGTGGACACTCGTTTACCACATTCGCATAATATTGCGCGTGTTTTCAGCGCACGCACGCGAGGGACGAGCTACTCGGCAAACACCCACGTTTTGACATGATATCGCATAATATGTCGGACAGTGAGAGCGAGCGAGTGGCATGGGCGTGCCTGACCTATTTACAGGTGTAGTTCGGATGCGAGTAACAGGAATGTCAGGGGCTTCCCCCCTCCCCCAATTTCTACAACACAATTTCTGGAAAATCGACCTTCTGTCTGTACGGGGTGTCGAAAGAGAAGAGAGGCGAAGGGGCCGAGTCGAGCGACATCGGGAAGCAACATCGAATTTCCCTCGAGAAAGGCGTGGCCTTTGCGTTTTTACTCCTCATAACACGCGGCGCGCCGATGAGCGAGCAAGCACCGAGTCCTTTTGAATTGAAATACTTTGTAGACATTCGCGTGTATTGCCGATATTCTCCCATGATAATACATCCTTTTTTCCTTTCCACCTTTAACAGCCTTCAACGTGAATTACGATTGCAATATGTTCCTTGTAATTGTGTATGTGGGCACGTAGAGGTAGGTACCTAGGTATAATCGTCGAAGGCCAGATGGTTTGTTATAGATGTGCATTTGAAATATATACTGTATCAATACAAGTATTTTGTTTCCCATAACTTATCCGAGCAAAGAATGTTAATAGAACTTTTATCATTGCTCGGATTGCTCAACGAGAAGCCAAAAGTAATTTTGCTTTGGAAGTATTAAAGAAAACAAAACAAAAAACACAAAAAAATCCGTCCGGGACATTAACTAAATGGCGCCGCCTGAACAACAAAGTCTCGATAAAGGCTTAATCGATCATTTAACATTGCACACAGGGAGTCCGGGAATGCATAATTGATTTATTAACGTAATCATCGACACGAACGTTGACTTATGTGCACTCGGCGAAGCTTTAATGAACAATGTCAATAGGACGATTATACGCACCCACGCAGCGCACATTCGGAAAGAGCGAAACGCGTCTCGCCTCGTAAATTATCCGCGAGACTACGTAGTATCAAAAGGAGCCTCGACCTGTCGGCCTCGAATTCAGGTTACGAGTGGCTTCGGCTCGAGTACGACTTCGCGCTCCCGCCTAGCTCGCCAACTCGGTGTTTCATCTGCCGGCACTCGAGCCACCACGAACACCAGGAGGCACCACGAGGCACCCACTAGTCAACCCACCTGCGAGTTTTCTCGAGTGTCCTTCCGCCACTTCCCAACACCTTCCACTATCTATTATGCACCGCTCCTCACCAACCTCTTAATACTGCCATCGGCCTTTCGTTTCTCCCCCCTCCCCCCTCCCAGCCCGCCGCCATTCATATCGTCACTCGGTAACGCTCCACTCTCTCGCCTCCTCGATCCCAGTGCTGCGCACGATCCCATCAACACACTGCGCGACGATAATTCGACCCGGTGTTACGTAAACTGTCGTTCCTGGTGTAATAACGCCGATGGATACGAGGCCGAATCCGAAATCGTTCATCCAGCCCTCGAGTTATCAGGAAATCGAAAATTCGGGAGAAAGCAGTTACGCGTGCCCGCAATGCCTTCGCCAAATTAAGATTGGACTCGGCAATGGAAATTTTCTCGAGTTCTCCCAGCGGCTTATCCAATCCGCCTATCTACGACCGGCGCTTTCCGTAATGCGATAAATCCAAGCGCGAAATAATAATTCAAAGCCACCTTCCCTTTTATGAAAGAGCTTGTCTCAATAAAAGCAATTAGCCCCGTCAACAAGCGCGTGTCTCATTATGTCTTCGAGGCTTTTAATAAGCGATTAAAGCTACGTGGCTCATTAATCGCGGTAGCCACATTAACACCAATCGAATTTTTCCGGCAAGTGACTTGCAAAAGGTCGTGAATTTATATTGTCAATTGTCAATGGCTGCTGGGAAAGGAGACAGGCCTTCAATAATGTGGTTATAAGCGATTCCATCGGTATATAGTGATTAGCAAATCTGAAAAGAGTTTCTCAATAGCCTGGAGAAATAAACTTTTTCGTCGTGATTATGCAAATGAATGGCTATCCGTGTCTGATCAATTGCTCGCGCGTGTACGGATGGAACTCGCGAACAAAAGTATTTGTTAGCCGCATAACAGGCATATGTGCACGCACGCACGCACTCGCACACCACTGCGTCAAAGTTTAGAAGCGAGAACACGATCGTAGGTACGCGCGTACGTGTTGCATCATTTCAACATAAGATAAGGCTTTCACTGCACTTCGTAATACTTGATTCTCCTGACAAGGTATAGATGTTACTATACCTTTATCTCTCTATTCAAGTTGCAATTCTTATAATATAGCCTGACTATTATTATTTCATTTAGATATCTTTTATCTCTTATCGATTACGAAATTTGAATGCCTCTTTTGCGTGGAAACAGAATATTTGCATGTATCAAAGTACTTTACATAATTACCGACCCGTAATCTTATATTCAATTTACTTTCACAAATTAAATATTTTTATTGTGCATCTGTACTTTCACAAATTTTACTTATTCTCTAGTATTAATAAATCATCATTTTGTTCAACCTTATGACAACCACTCGAAATTCTGCCTATATGGAAGAAGCAATAATTATCTTTTTTAAACAATTGTGAATATCGGTATAACTCGATAAGCAACGAATTAAACCTTACGGCTTTTTTCTTAAAAAATTAAATTCTAACATGCAATATGCAACCTGCGATGATTAGTTTCACAAATGTCCATTAATTCGTTTTGTCGCAAAATAACGAATAAAGTGAAACAAACTTTTTAAATATCTTGCTATATAAATAATAAAAAAAAGACCGTTTGATGCATTGTGCATTAAGTAAAATACCAAGAGTTTTGGTATTTGCAGTACTCTTGCCGAAATTAATAATAATTTGAATCATATTTTTCTCTCGATATCGAAATATACAAAAAATGAAAATAAAAAACGAAGTTCGTAGACACTCCTCGTCACTTAATGAGGGGTACTATATATATATATATATATATATATATATATAGTTATTGTAAATCAAGGTATAGATAATATAAAGAAGTTTTTTTAGATTTATGCCGTATTATAAGTTAATTATATCATTTATTAAAAATACGCCTGTGAAAGCAAGTGAGAGTATGTCGGTTTACTTAAAAAGATAAGGAGATGTAAAAGGAAAAATAACCGTCAAGTGATTTTCAACTTATTTCTAATACATTTACGGAGTATTCACATGCACACATACGCGCGCGCGCGCCGGATATTAAGAATTGGATTTTCTTACATTCTGTATGCGCATGATTAACTTTCGTTCGAGACTTTCTCAATGAAGCCATTTTAAGAGTAATGGCTCTCATTGTGAGGCGTCGAGTAAGCCATTAAGATAAAAAAAACGTCTGAAATCGAGATAATGTAAATTCGCATTGCGGCATACGGTGGAACGGGCAATAAAGCATGTAGCAGCAAATGCTGGGACAACTTCCTAGTAAAGGACGAAGCCGCTACCGAAGAATACCCTTCGCCCACCGATGTCTCAACATCAAACGTACATCAGTGTCGGAGGTTCGTCACGACTCTTCCTCATTCCCCGCATCGTCTTCTAACCCCCCCCCCCCCCCCCAAACCCCCACAACAAACACACC